TCGTTGTCGGCGTCGTCGCCGACGTTCAATAATTTTAAAAAGTTCACGAAGAATAGGCAAACGAGAATGGTCGAGTAAAAGAAGAAGAGCGACAAAGTTCTAGCGCGTCGAGTATAACTCCCTCTCACGTATCTTTTTCAACGAACGAGCGTGAAATTCCAGCATCGTCGAGCAAAAGTTCCTTCTTCTTATTCTTCTTCTTTTTTTTTCCCCTTCCCCTTTGCTCTCTTCTTCTTTCACTTCTTTTTTCTCCTCTTCTTCTTCTTCTTCTTCTTCTTCTTCTTCTTCTTCTTCTTCTTCTTCCTTTGCTTTTACTCAGCCAAACGACCATCGTATCTCTTTGTAGCTTCCAACCTCGTCGACCTTCCTTCTTCGAATTATGTGCATGGTGAACTAAAACGAAAGAGAGAGAGAGAAAAAGAGAGAGAGAGAGCAGTTTTGTTCTCTCAAATAAGAATGATTTTTCTCGTCCTATTGTCCTCTATCGTTCCAGAAAATCAAGAACGTTCCAATGGCCACAACCAAATCTGATGAAGTCATAAAATCTATCGCAAAGTACATTCATAAAATTCTCTAAGTTTACGAAAAACAGAGAGAAACGTGAATAAAATGAGTCCTATAATAAGAAAAAGTGTATAACGTAAGATGGTAAGAAAACGAACAGAAAACGAGGTGGATACTGAATATATGGATTCCATCAAGCTCACGTTTTCAATGTAACACCCTCGAGTTGCACAAGCACGACCATAAAGAGAATCATCCTACTGATCGAAATCGAGAGAAAAGGAAGGAGCTTGACGAAGAGTGAAAAACCTGTTGGAAAAAATGAGAGAGAGAAAGAGAGAGAGAAAGGTTAGACATCGAAGGTAACAAGGTCATTTGCGATGGGATGAATGATTATATGTGTACTTGGAAACGTCATCGAAGGGCTACATAAAGAGAAAAATGTTTTTAATACGCATATGCTTGGATCGGAATAACCACTCTCTTTCTCTCTCTCTCTCTCTCTTTTTTTTTATCTTTATCGAAGGATCCTTTTCTCTTTCATATCTGACTATCTATTCGTACATATATATATATATATATATATATATATATATATATATATACATATATATTTACATAAAGATGAATACATACGTACAGGGGTTTGCATCTAAAATGCAGAAGAACTACGATCATCGTCTTACTGAGAGAGAGAGAGAGAGAGAGAGAGAGAGAGAGAGAAAGAGAGCTCACCTTCCTTCGTATTTGCTCGATAAGAAATTCAAATATTATCATGTTCTTTCGAAATCATTAAAATAACAATAGTACGCGTGTGCATTTTATCATTTTCCGTTAGGATGCCTATTAAAAAAAAAAAAAAAAAAAAGTAAATGAAAATAAGATGCAAAAAATAACAAAGTGAAAAAAAAGAAAAGAAAACTTCAACGTGGACAATACAGTAATATTATTAATTTCTAGAAAATGTAATGCGTTTTTAAATATATATATATATATATATATATTTATATACAATTTTTTTTCTTTTTTTCTACGAACGTAATCAATTAAATATGAGGAGACAGATCGGTCTCTTTGTCGCGCCGTCAATTCATCATTGTCGTATTTAATAACGTCGTTGATAAAGATATCGAAAGAGTCGTGTGTGCGTGTATATGATGTTACAGGTGTGACCATCCTCTTATCACAGACGGTGTTTTCCCTGCTGGTGGCCCATGTGTTGACGCGAACCTCCGAGGCGGTGCCACTTATAGGTACCGACCACATCTTTTCCTATACCAACCCACACTTTAAATAGTTCTCATCGCGGGGAGTTTTCGTTAAAATTATTTCTTTTTTAATTTCACACTTAATCTCACAATTTTTTTTACATACACACGCATATACTCACACATATAAATATATTCACTTGATCGTGACATATTAGACGCGATAAGCTATATTGTTCGTCCGATCTTATTCGATATCGAAGCTTCGTTTTCATTATTCATAAAAAAAAAAAAAAAAAAAAAAAAAGAAAAGAAAAAGAAAAACGAAACAAAGAAGGAAAGGTAAAACAAAAACAAGAAAGAAAAGAAAAAACACACTGGTACTACAACTCGAGTGGTAAAAAATTTTTACCACGGAAACGTCGTTATGCAAATTAACCCCGGGCGCCAAGCTAAAACGACATTTTTATTAGAAGCACACGGACTATGAAGAAAGAAGCAGTTTTTCGCCTCGTTTCGTGAACGAAGCTTTTAACGTTAAAGAGAAAGCTCCCCACGTGTTAGACCTTTGACTATTTCTCTCTCACTCTTTCACTCTGTATCTCTCTCTCTCTCTCTCTCTCTCTCTCTCTGTATCTCTCTCTCTTTCTCTTTCTCTCTCTCTCTCTCTCTCTCTCTCTCTCTCTCTCGTAGAATTACCTCATAGCGATCTTTCATCCTTCTCTCTATCCTTCCCCTACTTGCTTTTTTGTGCAACAATGACTGTTCCAATTGTTGCACTTAATGCACTGAAAGAAACAAAAAGAGTTTAGTTTTCTTTCGAAAGTACAAAAAAAAAAGAAAAAAAAAAAAAAGATGAGAACATAAAGACAAGGAAAAAAAGAAAAAGATAAGAACAAAGAGAAAAATCGAATAATTATTCCGATCCTTTGAGGATCATCAATGTATGTATATCAAATTTTTCGATGATACAAAAAGACCTTTCAAAATCATTCGCAGTATTCAAAGCGATTAGTCTTATTTTCTATTTTGCATCGAGATAAACGATCTCGCCGAACACGAGCGTGTATGTATGTTCCGTGTGTATGCGTATACGTGTGTCTGTGTGCGTGCGTGTGTTTGCCAATGTACCTACGTACTTACGTTATCAGTTAATTTATGTTTCTCCGTAATTTCAATCGCAACGTACACGTTACAGTTAACGTATCCGAGAGATCGAAAATTATCATCAATTTTGCGCTCGATAAATCGTCGAGAAATTTTATTAATTGGCTTGTAAACTCTCTCTTTTTCTCTCTCTCTCTCTCTCTCTTTCTTTTTCTTTCTCTCTATCTATCTCTATCTTTCCTTTCTTCGCTCTATCTCTCTCTCTCTCTCTCTTTCTCTTTCTTCCATTATCGAATAAAAAATATGCGCATATGTATATTACAGCGATACGAAATCGTAAAATACATTTGATGCTGTTTAATTGATATCATAAAAGTATCTTCGTTGAGATAGCTTACACAGTTGGTTCGTATTAATTAACACGAACGTTCAAACGTTTTCTCGTGCGATCTCGTCTCGTGTTCGGACGGGAATCGATTGATATTTTACGAAGAAGATGGCATCAAAGACATTGCTATTTCTCTTCTTTATTATCGGACCAATAAGAATTTTCCATTTCGTCTGACTTAACGCCAGTCAATTTTTATCTAACATTTCATTTTCTTTCGATTCGTATCTATCATTATATTATCTTGCAAAAAGCGTTCGTGCCGTCTTCGTCGAATTAAAGGACGAATGAAAGGAAAGGAAATGAGGAAAAAAAAATAAATAAAAAAAAAAGAAAAAAAAAACATTAAAAACAATTAAAAAAGAAAAGAGAAGAAAAAAATATGAGTGAACAAAACGATATACTTTCTGTCTGTTTTGTATACGAGTGCTTGTGTAATAGTTACGCTTGTGTGCGTATATGTAGATGAATGGACGTGTACGTGCATTACAGGCAATGTCCTGTCCTATAAGTATGTCACTATATATATATATATATATACATATATAGTAACATATAAATAAATGTATATTACATGTATATATACATATATATATATATATATATATATATATATATATACGTTGTTTAACACGCACACGTATTCTAACGAATGATAACAATGCTTGCGTATGTTGTTCTCTCTGTCAAATAAGGTAAGGATCGAGTCCTCCTAATAATAAATATTACTTAAATGATCAATAATTTAATTGAAAAGAATTCATGCTTATGAATCATCCGATTTACGGGAAAAAAGGATTAATTTAGCTTTTTATGATTTTCTTGTTTTTTTCTTTTCTCTTTTTTTTTTTTTTCTTTTTTGTTCAAATCAAATAAAAATTTTACTCAATGTATTTTTAATGATCATAATATACACGTTGATCGATAGATAAACGTATAACAGATATTTGTTCCACTGAAGAGACAGCGTTAATTCGAGAAAGATGAAAGATATTCTTCTAAAGGGAAACGAGAACATGGAAGGAGGGAGTGTGATCTCTCTCTCTCTCTCTCTCTCTCTCTCTCTCTGTGTGTGTGTGTATAACTCGAAGATGAACGTGTCTATCTCTTTGGTCCAGGTCACGTAATGTTTGCTCTGATATCAATACTATTAGAGCAATGTAAGCGTTATAAGTAAACAGTGTGATAATTGGACAGTAATACTAAAAGAAAAACAATTATCGAAGGATTAAAATTTTTTTTCTTTTCTCTTTCTCTCTCTCTCTCTCTCTCTCTCTCTCTCTCTCTCTCGATTTTTTTTCTTTATAACGACATGTGGATCCTCGAACGACATATTTATTTTATTCTCCAAATCGATAAAGTAATATTCAGTGCTTTTATATTATCATTTACGGACGATAGGTGTATTCATTCTTCTTTCTAAGCGGATAACGAGACTTTTGTAAGGAGAATAATCGCGATTAATAACTTTCAAAAGTCGCCGTCATTGTCGTCTTTGTCGTCGTTGACGTCCTTGTGCATCCTTGAAATATGTTTCATTTTCCGAATGAAAATTTTAGAAACTAGCTCGAAGAAAACGGTACTCAAATGTAATAACACGAATTGCCAGAAAATTTGTTGGAATTTTCTGAATTGTCAAAAGTTTTCGATTTATATAATGTGTCCGTGTACATATATATATATATATATATATATATATATATATATATATACATAGATGCATATACGTATATACATGGATATGAAAGAAATACACTGATAGTATATTTCGTACATTCATATTTCTAAGCTCGGTTTTCGTGCTTTAAGGAGAGCGCGAGTCATAACGCGAGTCGAGTTATAAATTGCATGACTGCTAGATAATGGCTCGTAAAGCGTAAAACGAGGGAAGTTACTTTCACGCGGATTGTGTCTCCGGCATGGCGGCGACTTTACGTTTCTCCTTTTGTTTTCTCATTTTTCAGACGTTCCCCCCCTCCCTCTCCTTACTATTTCAGCTTACTCATTTCCTTTGAGTTAGAAAAGGAAATGAAATAAATTCGTCGTTCATAAAAATCGTTTAACTTCCTTAACGTAACGGGTCTCGTCGCTTGAGAATTACGATACCACGGGCAATCATAACCTTCTTATGAATATATTATAAATGAAATTATTATTATACTCTCCTGAGTCCCCTAAAGTGCATAGAAATCGATCCATTAATCGGCAACTAGTAAACTTTGATTTGACTTCGCGTACATGTCGTATATGATTATTCATATTACATTTCCATATAATTACGTTATAATTCGTGTTGGTCCCATTTTGATAATTCGAATGATCCCAAAACGGAATGGATAATAAAGTATCATCGATGATTAAATATGGATATCTTTCTTATATTATTAGCAAAGATTAAAGAGATATGATTCTTTTATTTTTCAAAAGAAATGTTTCCGCGTGAAAATACGCTTATAAGAAATAAAAAGAATGACAGATAAAAGAGAGAGAGAGAGAGAGAAAGGGGAGAAATGAAAACCGAGGAAAGACTTTTTCGTGGAAATTTAAAGGCTCATGTAAATTCAAAGGTACGACGAAGTATAAACCGCTTTGCTGAATATTCGCACGTGAGGACTCTCCTCCTCCTCCTCCTCTTCTATTTCCTCCTACTCCCATTCTTCTTCCTTTGCGATGCCATTCTTAAATTTATTCACCTATAGAATTTTAAACTTTGCCAGTTAACCGAGCATAGTAAATATCGATTATAAATTCCTATATATCGCGTAAGATTTCAGAGAAATACTGTACGAGTGTGAGAGGGTGGGAGATTAGCCGGGATGCCGACCGATGGAAGAGTAGATATTTTTTGACGAGAAAATAATTTTACTAATCGAAGGCGAATTCGAGGAAAATGATTTTTCTTCTTTTTTTCTATTCTCTTTTTCTATTCCCTCTCATTTTTCTTTTTGCTTTTTTTTTTTTAAGTTTTGCAATATCATCAATTAAACTTGTGTCTCCTGAAACAATTTCACGAACGAAAATTCCCATTTGGGAACGAGAAACGACTTTTTATCAATTCACGGTATACCTACCTTGTAATTCGCGACAGTAGAAGAACTAAAAGGGATAGGACAGAAAGGGTAAAAAGCAAGCGTACGTTGGATAGAGAAAAAAAGGAGAGCTTATTCGCCGCCACATTGCGAGTCAACAACGAGAAAGACCAATTGCCTTTTGTCGCTTGATCGCGAATTCCCTGAAGCTTCTATTTTTTATCGTATCATCAGTGAACCGTATAGGAGAACTTTCTACGCCGGTCGGTCCACTCGACAAACTTGTTTCACGACCATTTCTTTTATTTACCCCGTTCACGTTTATTTATTTCACGTTTGACGATTAAGCGTCATTAACTTATGCATTATTATCCCTATCGAAACGTATCCTAAAACTTATTCGTAATCCCTCCTATATATATATATATATATATATATATATATATATATATATATATATATATATACATATTTCCTATACCTACTTGATTTCAAGAATACGAACGTCGAAATTATTATTAAAAAGCATTATTTAAGAGCAATGTGATAAAAAGCGTAACGTAACGTGAGAGATAGAAACGTCGACGAGATGTATATCTTAAGGACATTAACGAAAGGAAATACGAGGCGAATTGTGGATTAAAAGAATTAAAAAAAAAACAGGAGAAGAAAGGGGTGAAGTAAAAAATGAATTCGTTCCACCAACGAAGGAGAATGGATGAGAGAGAGAGAGAGAGAGAGAGAGAGAGAGAAGATGGATTTATCAAAGACTAAAAAAGAATAATACCATGAATTATGACTTATGGAAATACATTGTGTAAAATTTAATGAATTATTAAAACGAGTTAGGAATTTTCATAATGTCGTTTTAATATACGACAGACAAGTTGTCAGATAGGGATGATTATTCTTTATTATTTTTTTATTTGTCTCTTTTTTCTTTTTCTTTTTTTGGTATTTTTTTTTCTTTTTTTTTTTCTTTTTTTTTTTTTTTTTTTTGTTAAACACGATAAAAAATGAGGGGAGAAAAATTCAAGGAAGGATATTAATTACAAAGCGCCACGTCTGTTCGGTCGAAGAAAAAGAAAAAAAAAAAAAAAAAAAAAAAAAAAGAAAAGAAAAGGAAAAAAGAAAATTACTGTAAGTTCCTCCAAGCGATTTTTAATCCGCATCGAACTTCATCTTAGCTTGATGTTCTTTAGAGAGAATATCATTATTACCGAGGCCAAGCATTGTTTGTAGCTTATTCTACGATCGTCGAGCT